CAAATTTTGGAAAATTGCCAGGAGTGTATTTACTATCTCTCCCGCCATCTCTTTTAGTAGCCTGGCATGCATTCCATCAGGGCCAGGAGACTGGTCTACCTTTAGCCTCCATTAGCTTGCCCAAGCCTTCCTTTTTCATATAATGATCGTGACTAGGTCCTCACCTACCTTAGTCTTGTCATCAATTACTGGCATGTTATTCATGTCCTCCACTGTGAAGACTGACACAAAATACCTGTTCAATATTTCGGCTATTTCCTCATTTCCCATTATTAAATCCCCCTTCTCATCCTCTAAAAGATCAATGTTTACCTTAGCCACTCTTTTCTTTTTATATATTTGTAGAAACATTTGCTGTCTGTCTTTATATTCCGCGTTAGTTTACTCTCATAATCTTACTTTTCTTTATAGCTTTTTTTGGTGGCTTTCTGTTGACGTTTAAATATTTCCCAGTCTTCTAGTTTCCCAATGGTCTTTGCCACTTTGCATTCTTTATCTTTCAATTTTGTTGGCTAATAAATCAAAAGCAAATCAACCTGTGATTATCTTTTCATTGGTGGGTCCTTACCATACATAGAATCGTAATTATCACCTCCATTCGAAGTAATTTATTGCATTTGAATCACTTGCAAGATATTACTGGGGAGTAACCACAAATATATATACACTTATCTTTCTAATCAGAGCCTGAGGTAAAAGAGGTCCCTGTCATTTAGTTTATTAAATGTGATGAGTGTTCTGCCTGACAGATGGGGTTTCCTTCAACACTGGCCAGCTTCTTCAAAGTGAAATTGTGTCCCAGTGGTAATATTTATATACGCAGTGTACAGCATATGCATCAACAGATAGTCACACTGAACAAACAGCTAAATCCAGAAATAATTTCTGCTCTGCAACATTGAGATTAAATCTGAGATGAGCTTTTAAGTGGTTACATTAATTAGTGCTGATGAGGCATGGTTATGCAACATGGAGCAGTTCCTGGGCCTAACCTAATTCAAGTAGCATTGCAAGTATTGCAGAGAGAAGACTCATCATACCACAGACTGTCAATCAGTGTGAAATGGGTTGCTGGAAATCCAATTTTACCCCTTAATCTTCTTTTGAAGTCTTTGATTCCCATTGGCACCAGGCCCAGTATCGGAGTCAAATGCCAACTCTTCATGTGAGAGCATCAGCAGGCGATTTGACAGCAGATGATATCACACTTTACTCGGATCTTATTATCACCACATTTCCAGATAGATACACATGTAAACATTCACTTCCTCTACATCCATTGCACAGTGGCAGTAGGGTGTAAATTTGCAAGACACACTTCAGCAATTCAAAGCTCCTTGAAAGCCCAAGATCTCCACTACCTTGAAGGACATAGGCAGTAGATATATGTGAACACCACCAAATGCAAGACCCCTCCATAGTCAGATGTACAGCACAAAAAACAGACTCTTTGGTCCAACTCAGATGTCCAAAATTAATCTAGTCCCTTTAAAGTTTTGGCAAAGATCTGTAGCTCAGGTTGTGGGGGAGGTTGTTGACTTGCTTGCTGAGCTGGTTTATTTTTGTTCAGACTTTTTGTCACCATGCTAGGTGACATCATCAGTGGAGCCTCCGATGAAGCGATGTTATTCTACTCCACTTGGAATTTATACTGTCCGGTCCGTTATGGTGAGTACTGTCAATTCCAGTTTTGATCTGGACGGGTTTGTATATGGGGTACGATTCTCTGTTTGTTGATTGAGGTATGGGTGGAGAACCATGCCTTTAGGAATTCCTGTGCATGTCTGTGTTAGGCTTTGTCTCGAACAAAGTAACCATAGTAGCTAATGAAGGCCATCAATTTAACTGGGACAAAGGAGGTTCACTAGGTTGATTCCGGAGTTGAGGGGGTTGGCTTATGAGGAGAGACTGAGTAGGTTGGCATTATATTCATTGGAATTCAGAAGATTGAGGGGGGATCTTATAGAAACATATAAAATTATGAAGGGAATAGATAAGATAGAAGTAGAGAGGATGTTTCCACTGGCAGGTGAAGCTAGGACAAGGGGGCATAGCCTCAAGATTAGAGGGAGCAGATTTAGGTCTGAATTGAGAAGGAATTTCTTCACCCAGAGGGTTGTTAATCTATGGAATTCCTTGCCCAGTGAAGTCGTTGACGCTACTTCAGTAAACGTTTTTTAAAAAAAGTAGGTTTTTTTTGAACAACGAAGGAATCAAGGGATACGGTGAGAACGCGGGTAAGTGGATCTGAGTCCACGAAAAGGTCAGCCATGATCTTATTGAATGGCGGAGGAGGCTCGAAGGGCCAGACGGCCTACTCCTGCTCCTAGTTCTTATGTTCTTAAAGTAACCATAGTAGCTAAAGCCAAACACAGACACGCAGGGGAATTCCTAGAGGCATGGTTCTTCAAATCAACAAACAAAGAGAATTGGACCCCATATACAAACCCGTACAGACCAAAACTGGAAATGACAGTACTCAACCTTAACAGACCGGACAGTATAAATTCCAAGCAGAGGAAAATAACATCGCTTCATCAGAGGCTCCACTGATGATGTCACCTAGCATGGTGACAAAACGTCTGAACAAAAACAAGCCAGTTCAGCAAGTATGTCAACAACTTTAATCTAGTCCCATTTGCCAGTATTTGGTCCATATCCCTCTAAACCCATCCTATTCGTGTACCCATTCAAATGCCTTTTAAATACTGTAATTGTACCAGCCTCTACCACCTTATTCCATACATGCACCACCCTCTGCGTGAAAAAGTTGCTCCTCAAGTTTCTTTTATATCTTCCCCCGTTCACCTTAAATCTACGTCCCATAGTTTGGGACACCTCTATCCTGGGGAAAAGACCTTTGGCTATTCATCCTCTCCACGCCACTCATGATTTTATAAACCTCTAAGGTCAGCCCTCTGCTTCCGATGCTCCAGGGAAAGTAGTCCTAGCCTATTCAGCCTCTCCCTATAGCTCAAACCCTCCAACCCTGGCAAACCTTTTCTGAACCCTTCAAGTTTCACAACAATCTTTCCTATAGCAGGGAGACCAGAAATGAAGACAGTATTCCAAAAAAAATGGCCTAACTAATGTCCTGTACAGCTGCAACATGACCTCCCAACTCCTATACTCAATCCACTGACCAATAAAGGCAAGCGTACCATATGCCTTATTCACTACCCTGCCTACCTGAGACTCCACTTCCTTGAAAGTATGAACCTGCACTTCACCATTTCTGTTTGGCAATGCACCCCAAGACCTTACAATGAAGTGTACAAGTCCTGTCCTGATTTGCCCTAGCAAAAAAAATGTAGCACCTCACACTTATCTAGACTAAATTCCATCTGGCACTCCTTGGCCTGTCTGATCAAGGTCCCATTGTACTGAGGTGATCTTCTTTGCTATCCACCATCACCAATTTTGGTGTCATCTGCAAACTTACTAACCTTATTGCCTACATTCACGAAAAACCACACTGTCTTGACATGTAACCGTATCACTGTTCCCTCACTGGGGTTAAATCAAAATCTAGGAATTCCTTTCATAACAGTACTTCACATGTACCAAAATTATACACATTGCAGTCATTCATGAAAAGAGCTCACCACCAGTAAATTTGCTCATGCTGATTATTGTATTTTTTTCAGCACTATTAACAGATGCAGATTTCCAGCCTGTGGTACCAGACATATATTCCTCAACTTTGGCTAGAAAGCTATGGGGTTGGTAACAACGATGAAAAAGAGTCAAACTTCAGCTTCAGCAAGTGCTGCAGTTTATCACATTGAAACAAAAGTGACTAATGGTTACCTAATATGACTGGGATCACTTCTTACATCTTATCTGGCCCTTTGGAAGGAACTGAAGTAATCCAATAAGGGGAGAAGAGAGAGTGTGCAACAGAACAAAGAGGAGGATATGGCTTTCCTTCCCAATAACAAATATCTATTACAATTGAACATACGGTCAAATGTTCAGTACACATTAGCAATGTTACATGGCAAAACAACAACTGCAGTTCTGCTCCAGCCTCACTATTGTGCAAGATGTACAAACTCGCATAAGATAGGTTCTGGGTCAATCTCACTGAATCTTTATGCAGAGGGTGATCCTAACTTGTATGGCTTTCCAGATATCCCACCCCAAATTGATCTGAATATGACTTTTCATCTCTCCTTGAAAACTGTGTGGCTTTTGGAGGGACTTTGAATTGCACTTATTGTTATGCATAAGGAATTGCAGTTGTGTGGATCAAATTAGTTGAACCAGAACAATAAAAAGTGACAATCCTGGGAATGGAACCTTGTTAGGTGTGACTGAGGCACAAGACTCAAACACTATACATTAATTCCAGGATAGTAGGAAGTGCAGATGCTGGAGAATCCGAGACAACAAGGTGCAGGCCTGGATGAACACAGCAGGCCCTGCACCTTGTTGTCTCGGATTAATTCCAGGATCTGGGTTCTTTTGTAGCGAGACACTGCCCCAGGCATTTTCCCAAATGAATTTACTCTCCTAGGCCGTGACTCACTCGTCTTTAATCAATCCTTGTGGCAACAGATTCCATGTCTTAACAATTCTTTCCAGCAAAGTGCACTTCCCCTTCTCTCTTTTACACTTCATATTATGAGACATCAATTTTAATTCATTTTCTTTAAATTTTATTTGTTACTGAAAATTTATCCAATATACAGAAACCATTATTGGGTTCCTTATTCTACAGAAATTCTGACCTGATATTTGAAAAAGGCGTTTCAAAAGATTAATTTCTGATATAGCTGCTCCTAACAAAGTTGTGCGTAACTTGTTTTCCTAAAATGTTCAAAGCAACTTGCCAAGTTCTCTTGGAGAGATCTAGTTCTCTTTCCACAATAATAGAAAAATTTACTAAACGATAAGTGACTCAATGCAAATGAACAGGTTTCTTGAAAAACAGCATTATTTATACAACCAGCTTGACTAATGTTACCAACAGCAGCATCAAGCAAATTCCAAAGCTGTCAGAATATTGTCAATTTAATGGATCTCATTAGTCTCCCCACAAACACAACCCCCAAACTCCTCCTGCGCTTCCATCAAGCTTCTATATGACATCTTTCAAACTCCCAGTTATGATCATAATGACAGTGAGGCTCATTAGCCAGCTTGGCACAGGTTTCGCAGTCTGCTGCTCCGTAGTACAGTCCTCTAGACAGAGGAAAGCCTTTGTCCAGGATCCTGGGAAGGATGGTCCATGGCAACTTGGTGTGAAATACCTTATGGATAAAACAGAAGAAAGGTCTATGTTAAATGTATGACTGCAACCAGATCAGTGCATGACTTGGGACAAAGAAGTGAAAAAAATGATGAATTTTTTGAACTGAACAAGATGCAACAACAGATTTAGAAGAGTTATTTTACTATCTCTGAGCTCAGTGCCAAGCTCACCAATTTCACATCGTGATCACTGGCCCCATTCAGATTCTATTTTTAATGACTATTTAGAAGTCTGTATCTTCCTTTTCATGTTTTCACTTTTGGAGAAAGTTTCTAATTATTTCATCAGTTATTCTTGCTTTAGACAATTATTTCCCTTTGCTCCAACCATCACCACCCCTTTTGCCTTTAACTCCATCATGGCTTTGTCATTTAATCGCTCCTGTTCTCTACAGAACTCCAGTCCATCCCTACACCTCCCCCACTCCGCCGCCTCCACCAACCCAGAACAATTCTGAGGAAGAGTTACGCGACCTGAAATGTTAACTGATTTCTCTCCATAGATGAAGCCAGACACTAGCTTTGCCAGCAATTTCCGTTTTAGTTGGAGTACAAAAACCCAAACCCGTTCAAACTCCCTTCTGTTCTGAAGTCATATTGAACTTGAAACATGAACTATTTTTCTTTCTCCACAAATGCTGGACTTTTGAGTATATCCAGAACTTTTGAAAACAGATGTCACTAACAAGGTATCTTACTAACATATAGATAGAAAACCTACATAAATAGATTTCTAGAGACAACAATGACAACAGTCATGTTGCCCAAAATTCCTGTTCTAGTTTGCTACCTAATGATTGCTGTTGGAAGTCAGCGTAACAGGACTGGACTGAGCCACTTTTTTCTGAAGAAGGGTTCCGACCCCAAACATCAATTTTCCTGCTCCTCAGATGCTGCCTGGCTTACTGTGTTACTCCAGCTCCACATTGTTATCTCTGACTCCAGCAGCTGCAGTTCTTGCTATCTCTGGACTGTGTCCCAATGCTTGGCAAATTAACTGACTACTACTATCACTGAGAAACGTGAGCAAAAGAAAGCAGAGACCAAAGCAGAGAAAGTAAAACACCTCTTCATTTCACTTCTTACCAAATGAAACCAAAGTTGAAGACAATAAGTCTGTTTGACTGGCCTAAAAACCTGAGTAGTTTCATAGGAGGAACCTCCCTTCCTGTCTCAATTAGCCATTCTTTTAGTTATTTAGAGGCTCTAATTGCACCTCTCATGGGTACTGCCATTTGATAGCTCTCCCTTTCACCTGGGTGAGAACCCAAACACTGCCCTTTCCGGCTTTTTTTGGAAAATGAGTCAACAGATAACAAGAAGAATACAAAGAAGTCTTTCTGAGTGAACAAAAGATCACCTGAATGGTATTGTTAATTCAACCACAGTAAACTTTCCTGGCTTAAAACACAAACACAGGAATACGACAGTCCTCTGTTCATACAAGAGTTATTTCAAAGGAAGCTCAGTGAAATTGGGTGGTGCAATGATTTATATCTTGGCACAACTTGGTAACAATTGCAACTCTGAAAAGCTGCAGCCTAACCTGATTGTTCTGACAGTGTAACACTGAACTGAGGTGAATCCTGCAGGTGAGATGTACAAGTAAAGTAGCCTCTACTTGTTCTCATTATCCTCAGTGTGCCTCCTGTTCTTTCATCCCTACACTTGGGCAGAAGCTTTGGTTGCTTTGACTGTCCCTTCTGGATCGCTCACTTCAGATCACTGAACAAAAATTCCCCAAAATTCATCCTTGTAGTCACGTTAGTCATCCCGCACTGCCTCAGCCCCGCTCCCTTATGTGCATTGTCTTCTTTCCTCTTCTGTAAATTATTGTAGGCAAAGCTAAATGATGTATAAATGATGAAAAATCTCAATTTCTACTATGTCCTGGTAAATATTCCTTAAACTAAAAACTACAAAAACGTAATTTTCTTGTGGTTATTTGTGCAACCATCGTGAGAAGGTGCAATGTTTGGCTGTATAGCAGTCACTGCCCTACAACATTTCCGGGAGTCACGAGATGCATTGACTGCTTCACCCTTACAAGTTGCCTGCAAGTATCCTAACTAAATAAGGCTAGGGCAATGTCAATCCAATTCTTAGCAAGTTACCATGTAACAGAGTCCATTTTACAAATTCATCCATGAAATTATTGCAAAATTAAAACAGTGTGCATACTTAAGAGGATTTGTTAGTTTATAATGACTAAGAATAAATAAAATAATCCAAGAGATAGATATATTTCTACTAGTATGATCTGGTGTAGTCCCATTTCCTACATAGAAAATGCAACTGTTAACTGCAGTTAAAAATTCCCTTGTTTTTGGGATGTTATTTAATGCAAGCTTGTGGTTTTATAGTGGTTCCTAATAGAAAGGAACAGCAGTCTGGTGTGAAGGTTTGATGCCAAAATTGAAAAAGGTCCCCACAGAATCGGGACTTAATACTACGCTAAATAGATTGCCTGTCTAGTGAGATAATGTTTCACAGACACTAGCATCATCCTAATAATTTATTAGTGACCATCCTTCAGCAAGTGACAGCCAACCATTTGACTAGATCATAGAATCCCTGTACTGTGGAAACAGGCCCTTTGGCCCAACAAGTCCACACCAACCCTCAGTGCATCCTGCCCAGACCCATCCCCTATAACCCACCTAATCTACACATCCCTGAACACTATGGGCAATTTAGCATGGCCAATCCACCTAGCCTGCACACCTTTGGACTGTGGGAGGAAACCAGAGCATCCGGAGGAAACCCATGCAGACACGGGGAGAATGTGCAAACTCCACACAGACAGTCACCCGAGGGTGGAATCGAACCCAGGTCCCTGGTGCGGAGAGGCAGTAGTGCTAACCACTGAGCCACCATGCCACCCCAAGGTTGAGAAAATGTAGTTGGCAGGATTCGAACCTGCGCAGGGAAACCCCAATAGATTTCTAATCCAGCACCTTAACCACTCGGCCACAATTACAGGGGCATCTTTAGGGCATGATTAGTGAGGGCATCACCATGCAATATTGTCCTCAAGCATGCACATATGAAGTAAGAGCAGGAATAAACTACTGAGCTAATTTGATCATTCCAAATCCGTGCCTATCCCTGATAACTTTTCACCACCTTGCTTTGCAAGAATCTCTGCCATAATATTTAAAGCCACTACTTCCACCAACTTTTGAGGAAAAGTTTCAAAGACTCACCACACAAGAAAAAAATGATCATTTATGTTTTAAATAGGTGAGTCTTTTTTTTTTTTAAGAAAGGAACAAGTGACCCTGGTTTCTGGATTGGCAGATTATAGCATTCATCCTTTTGACATCCACCTTGTCAAGGTCCCGCAAGATCTTGCGTTTCAGTCAAGTTGCCTGCCCACTTCTAAGTTTGAGCAGATAGAAATCCAGTCCGTCCAGGTTATTTATATTCTTCCTTCAATAAGGAGACCAATACTGTTAATAGTACTGCAGTTGTGCCTCATCCCAATGCCCTGTACAGCAGAAATATATCCTTGCTGCTTTAGTATTTAATTCCTCTCACCACTTTGGCATTCAATTTACTTTGCAATAAATCAATAACTTTTTATTTGTTTTCCCAGTTACTTGCTGTACCTTGTGTGATTTATGCAGAAGGATCTGCCTGTAATCATGCACCTCACAGCCCTGCAATCTCTCACCGTTTAGATCATATGCTTCAATTTTACTCTTCCTGCCAAAATGGAAAATTTCACAATTTCCCACATACTTGTTTGCCAGATCTTTACAAACTCTCAACCTATTTATATCCTTCTTGTAAAAGTAAAGTATTGTGATGCCCAAGAACCAAAATAAAAACAGACATGGAGGAACTCAACAGGTTTGGCAGAATCTGTCAAGAAAAAAATCAGAGCCAACGCTTTGAAGAGTTGCGAGACATGAACTGTTTCGCTCTCTAAAGATGTTGCCAGATCAGCTGAGTTTCCATAGTGCTTTTATCATTTTGTTCTCTTCAAAGCCGATATTACTTTGTCTCATCTGCAAATTTAGCAACCATATTCAGTCACTTCATCCAAGATCTTTAAATAAAAGTTGAAGCCTCAGCACTGCTTCCTGTGGCTCACCAGTAATTACAATTTGCCAACCAGATGATGAGCTGTTAATGACCAATCTGGTTAGCTAACAAGAAACAATCACTATTCATGCAGTACGTGAACCCCTACCCCATGAGGTTTTACTTTGCATAATAACCTTTGAAATGCTGCCTTATCAAATGCCTTTTGGAAATCTATGTTCAGCATATCCACCACATCCCATGCATCCAGAGCACTTGACTTCCTCGTAAATACTCCAATCAATTTGTTAACCATGATTTCTTTCATAAAACCATATTGATTCTGCTTGGTTATGCCAGATTTTTCCAAGTGCCCTTCTCGAATGCCATAACATTTACACACAAGTTACTGTCCAGCAGCAATAACTGTTTGTTTGATCAGTAACAAGAACTGTGACCAATTAATCATCTATCTAATCAGCTGTCTTTCTCTCTCTTTGGGCTCTATCCTATCATTTAGTCCCTACCCCACCCACCTCCCTATTTTCTGCATATAAACTGACGTTTTCCCAGCCACCATCAGTTCTGAGGAAGGGTTACGGGACCCGAAATGTTAACTGTTTTCTTCTTTACAGATGCTGCCAGACCTGCTGAGCTTTTCCAGCAACTTTGTTTTTGTATCTAGAAACAGGTTAGTTTTGTTATTGTCCCATAGTTGAGATTAGGTGACTCAACACATTGCAGCAATCAAAACTAACAATGAGAAAAGTATTTAGTGAGAAATCACAGGTGTGGGATCGGCTTAATAAATCCCACTACCTCCTTCCCATATCCAAACAATGCCTGCTTAATAAGGAAACGCACAAATATTAAATGACTTATCTGGTAGACAATACCCATCAAGGCTTGCATTGTACCCTTATCAAAAAAAAAAGCAAATCATGTTTGTTGTGGTGAGACCAACTTAACAAGCCAACAATTCAACAGGGTTCTGAAAATCATCTAGTGACAAGAGTGGGAGATAGTAAGATCTGTCGATGCTGGAGTCAGAGCTAACTGTGTGGAGCTGGAAGAACACTGCAGGCCAGGCAGAGGAGCAGGAGTGAATTGGAGAGGCATCAATTCAACTCAATTAGGACTGTACACTAACCACGCTAACCCACACACGATAATTTTCAGAAGCTTATCTGATCCTCAAAAAAAAAATCAACCAACACTCTCGAATCCTTCTTTCTCCTTGTGTTCTAGTTATATGTGTATTTAATACTCATCATCTAAAACCCAGTCATTGGTGCGCTGGGTGCTTGCACTGTGTAATGTGGTACAAAATGAATCATACTTTTAGAGCTGAGATTCAATCACCAGACTGCACTGAGTTAGCCACTGATGGCTTTCAATCATTCCAATGGGTCCCTTTCCGAGAGTCTTTGGCAGACAGATGTTGGGCAACTCAGCCATAGGTAGCTATTGAGTGGCCCCTTTGCTACAAAAGGCACAAAAATCAACATTTATTGCCCATCCCTAATTGCCCTTGAGAAAGTCTCTCACTCAAATATACAAAATTCAGAAAGACATTCCAACAGGGTAGAAAGAGTGGTTGCTTTTCCTGGGTGATCTCAGATTATGGGTCGATTGTTTAGGCGCGATGGGGAGGAATATTAGAGGGTTATGAACGATGCACCATCACTCTCTCAGGGATGTGAAAAGAAACCGTGGGAAAGTGGAATTTAAAAGATCAACCATGATTGTACTGAATGAAACAGCAAACTTGAGGGGCACAAGTAATTTACTCATGTCCCTATTTCTTACTATGTGAAACATCCCACAGCATAAATATGATGTTATACCTGGCGTCCCTACTAATACTGATCCCACAATCAACATCACAGAAAAAAACTCTCTGGTCGTTGTCAGATTGCTGTCTGCAGGGGTTTACTAAGGGCAAATTGGTCGTACTTCCTGAGATTAGGCATCAGAAAAGAATTGACTCTGAAGAGCTTTGGGGCATCCTGTGCTTGTGAGAGACATAATAAATGCAAGTTGTTTTTCGTACAAAATTTGAATACAGATGGAGACAGACAAATGTTGCCCTAGCATTTAGTTTTGCACTCATCAAGACAAAAGAGAAGAATGTCAAACCTCAAACAGGAAGTGAGTGTTGACTGATTCTTCAGTCAATATGGTCAATGCTCAGGTCTTCCCTATGAACACATTAATTGGAAACAAGTTTCAAATGAAACATCACCCTTTCCTCCCTTACTATAAGTAGTTGCGGCCATTTGAGATTTGGCAATCTTGCATTTTGTCCTGAGTGCAAAACGAATAGTTTCGGCAATATGCCCCCATTTGGGCAACAGAAATGCAAGTCTTCCTCCTGTATGACACTCACCGAGATTTTCCTTCCACTCTCGGTTAAGGTGAGAAGTGATGAGCATCAGTCAGGGAACTGCTTCCAGGTACTGACAAAGGCAGTGGGAATGAGCGAGTACGGCACGGTGGTGATGCTGCTCCAAGTGTCTGAGGTCGGGTCGTAGCAGTCCAGGGTCTTACAGCGCTGTGTGCCGAAGTAGCCGCCCACCACGTAGAGCTTGTTGCCCGAGGCCACGGCGTGGCAGCTCATGCGCTTGGCCGTCATGTCGCCCACCCGTGTCCACTGGTTGGTGTCACAGTCAAAGCGGTAGGCCGAGGCCGCCGTGAACTCCGTGTCGCCGCCCATGATGAAGATCTGGCTGCCCAGGGCGGCGGCGGCCGTGTAGCGCCAGGGCTGTGGGCAGACGGCCGGCACGGCCCAGCGGTCCTCCAGCGGCTCGTAACGCTGCACCCGGGACCGACGCTCGGCAGCTGGGAGGCTCGAGGCGCCGCCGCCGAAGACGTATAGCCGTAACTGAGCGCTCACCACCGCCGCGTTGCTGACACCGTCGGGGAGAGGAGACACGGCGGTCCAGGTGTTGGCGGACGGCTCGTAACGCTCCACCTGCGTGAGAGGGGCCGAGCCCGGTACCCAAGCCGAGCCATGGCCTCCGAGCACGAAGACACCTCCCCGCAGCTCGGCCGAGCCATGGCCGAAGCGAGCAACCAACATTGGCGCCACTTTGGACCAATCGCCAGCCGCCGCGTCATAGACCCAGACGTCTCGCGAGACCCCATTCTCGGGGCCCCGCCCGCCGCTCAGGTAGACGCGGCGGCCCAGGGCGCAGGCGCTGAACTCTTTGCGGGGGCTGGGCAAGCGCGCCTTGGCGACAATACGCCCCCTCCCCTCCCCGAGGTCCCGCCCCTCCTCCGCTTCCTCCCCACGCCACCCCAAACCCAGGTCTTCCTCCAAACTCTTCCGGCGCCCAGTTCCCGAGTCCCGGCAGTGCAGTTCCCTCACCCCTTGCTCCTCCCGCCGGCCCTGCTCCACAAGCTCCTGGTGCCCATCCCCCACCGGTCTGCTCTCAGAGTCGCCCTCCCCCCGCTCCAGCTCCTCCCACTGCCCCTCCCCCCGCTCCAGCTCGTACACCTGGTCGCACAAGAAGGTGGGACCGCCCAGGATCAGCAGCGTGTGCCCTGCGCGCCTGGGACGCGCGCACGGCGGCGTGACCGTGCCCGCAGACCCCACCCCCGCGCGCTGGTAGCGGCGCGCCTCGTCCACCAGTGCGCGGCCGAACGGGTCGTCGTCCAGGAGATGCTCGGCCTGCGCCCAGGCCTCAAGGTAAGGAGCGGGCAGCAGGGCGAGGCGGACGTGCCGCAAAGGGCCGGACAGGTGCCGCCGGCCTTCACCGGGCGGTCGGTGTCGAGCCCAGCGCACGACGGCCAGGTGGACGGCCCGCTCGTCCTCGGCCTCCAGCTCGTCGCTGGCTAACAGCTCGGCCAGTGTGGCCTCGGGCAGCCGGCAAAACTCTTCGCCGGAGGCCAGGCGCTGGAAGTGGGCGAGGCAGACGGCGCGGGCCCGCTGTCTCAGGTGGCGGCACTGGTGCGCGTCGGAGAGCAGGAGCAGGCGCAGGCAGTTGGAGGGCCGCAGCCGGCGCTCCAGGAAAGCGGCGGCGGCGTCGCGGACGTCGGGGAACTGCAGCATGTCGCCGGCCTGCAGCAGCCGCTCGGCGTTGGCCTCGCTGAGGGCCAGGCGCGCCGTGTACGCGTAGTCGAGCAGCGGCTCCAGCGCCTCGGGGTGCACGCTGGCCCGCAGGTCCACCTCCGGCTCGCCGCTCTCCCGCAGGCCGCCGCCGAACATGGCCGCGAAGTAGCGGCTGCAGGCAGCCAGCACTGCCCGGTGGCACAGGAAGGAGCGGCGGCCGGCTCGCAGGGTCACGTCGGTGAAGAGGCGCTGCCTCCGCAGGCTGTCGAGTTGGGCCAGGACGCTCTCCGGGTGCGAGGCCTTGTGGAACAGGGAGGCATTATCACCGCTCGGGCTCTGCTGCTCACTCATGGTCGGTCCTTCCCTCCTCCTGCTGCAGGCTTAATCTGCAAAATACAAAGGGGAAAACAGACATCTTCTAGGGGGTTTCAATCAAATGCTTCCATTCGTAGCCATAAAGTGCGAATGCAGACCCTTCAGCCATGCCGAACATAATCCCAAACTAAACTAGTCCCACCTGCCTGTTCCTGGCCCCTATCTCTCCAAACCCTTCCTACACGTGTACCTAGCCAAATATCTTTTTGAACGTTGTAATTGTACCCACATCTGCCACTTCCTCAGGAAGTTCATGCCACACGAACCACCCATTTTTGAAAAAAAACTGTCCCTCATGCCTTTTTGAACACTCGCATCAAATGTCAGCAGGATGCCCTAACTATAAACGCACAGTGAGATCTGAAAATTTAAACACAGGAGAAACTCCACGTCTGGCAGCATCCTTGGGCAGGGAAAAAGTCAATATCCATTTAGGTTCTGAAGAAGGGTCACTGGACCCAAAACGTTAACTCTGCTTTCTCGGCACAGATGCTGACAGCCCTGCTAAGTTTCTCCAGTAATTTTTGTTTTTGTTCCCGTCCAACAGGACTGTCTCAAGTTCCGAAGAAGAGTCGTGTTCCGGGATTGGCGGTCTCATGCAGATTACCATGCCATCCCTTTTTTAAACCAAGGGAGAGGTGTCCGTACTTGTGCTAGGTCATTCCGATCAGGGCTCCCATCAGAAATGCAGATTTGTACTACCCTACTTATGGCTCTCTTTCAGTGAGGAAATGAAGGCAAACCTAGCTACCTTTTAAAAGCAATTAGCTGGTATTGTGATATTTGAAAGTCCTGCATCACAGGCAGCTGTTGTCAAATGATAAGTACATAATTGAGGTTGTGTGAAATAGGGGGCTAGGTGAATGCAGCTTCTTGGGGGATGGGGGGGTAGAGAAAGTGGGTGTTGGGTCAGATGGTGGAGAGAGGGGGAGTTGGGCCTTAGAAGTGGAACTAGATGCCAGGCAGGTTGGAGGGGGATCAGCTTGGGAAGTGAATGAGAGTCTAGTCTGGACCAAGTGAAGAGTTGCATCCAGAGAGGCAGATGAGTGGCAGAATTGTGGAAAGACAAAAAACATCTGGTTCTCAAATGTCTTTTAAGGAAGCAAAGCCAATGTCCTTGTCTGGCCTAAATGGGATTCCAGACTCAACAATGTAATTGACTTAACTAACCTTTGAAAAAAACCTCTCAGTTGAAGGAGAATTAGAGATAAGCAAAAAAATGCTGAACTTGTCAGTGATGCCCACATCCCATAAAAATTTAATTGTGCATGTTTCAGGGTTTCAAGACAGTGATTCTATTTGTTTAGCATACCTCAAAGCCACTTGATGTTTAAGGGCTGTGGTAGAAATGCAAAGGACAGTTCAGATGGGAGAAATGTAAACAAACCATCTTGGAACAGTGCTGCTATTGGGACCTGGCCTTTAATTTTCTCAAAACAGCTCCAACTTTTCAAATACCAGTATTTATTGTGTTTGGATTACTTTCTACTGTAATAGCAGACTTGGAACATTCTCTCACAGACTTGGTTCACAGACATCACCACAAAGACCGAACAAACTGTACAACAACTGAGAGTCAAAACTGGACAGATTCTGTCTCCACTGTCCTCCCTGATCCCACCCACAAAAAGGTGCTCGCTCGCATTGAGGTTTGCTTCCATGATTATCAAATCTACTCCCGTGAACCAGACAGTATCATAGAATCCCTACAGTGGAAGAAGGTTGTTTGGCCCATCAGGTCCACACCGATCTTCTGAAGAGCATCCCA